TGCAAAAAGGCTAATATTCTGGGGTGTATTAACAGAAGGATCCTATGTAAGACACAGACAGCAACTGTCCCGATACACTCAGCGCCAGTCAGGCCTCCACTGGAGTACTGTGTCCAGTTTTGGGCACCACACTTTAATAACATGTGGACAAACTGGAGAGTCCAGAGCAGAGCAACAAAAATTTTAAATGGTTTAGAAAACCTGACCTACAAAGAAAGGTTAAAAAATCTGGGCATCTTTAGTCTTGCAAAAAGAAGGCTAAGGAAAGACCTGATACCAATCTTAAACTTTATGTGAAGGTCTGTTATAAAAAAAGACAGTGATCAATTGTTCTCCAGGTCCACCAAAGGTAGGACAAGAAGTAATCAGCAAGGGAGATTTAGGTTGGACATTAGGAAAAACTTTTCAACTATAAAAACAGTTAAGCACTGGGACAGGCATCCAAAGGAGGTTCTGGAAACCCCATAATTGGAGTTTTTCAAGAACTGGTTTGACAACTGCTATCAAGGATGGTCTAGGTCAGTGATACTCAAACCTCAGTGGTTCAGGAACCAAATTAGCAATCAACATTACCCAAAGGAGCCAGAGTAGTGTGAATGGTTTCACACTCTGAAGACCCCTTCCATTTTTATGGTTTCTATGAAAATTGAAATCTGGTATTTCAGCTAGGACACCTCAGAACTACCTCTCTTGATCTTGAGCCAGTGTCATGTAGGAAACCAAGGAGAAATGGAGGAAAAATCTCTCTTAAAACGGACCCACCATCCTCCAACAGTATTACTACTACTACCACCATTATTATTTGTATTACTATAGTTCCTAGGAGCCCTAATCATGGACCACACCCCTTTGTGCTAGGTGCTGTAAAAACAGAATAAGGAATCCCTGTGTCAAAGTTTACAGATTAAGCAATAATTTTTTTTTTTGCTTCTATACCTCCATAACACATACATATCTGTTTCATGCCCAGCATATGCATTATGCTGAGGCTGCATGTATCAGTCGTGCATCCAGCTTTTATTCTGTAACCAATAATGGGTGGAGCCATACCACAGTTTCTTCCTTAAGACCCAGTCATTTTTGGATTTGCGGTAATGTTGCATTTGCTGTGCTTCCTCCCAATCCCCGGGGTATATGCACCATTGGCACCCTGTAGCTACAGGGCGGAGGTATATATACCTTGCCATCTAGCCACCGACACCATCATAGTACCCACTCTTTTTGGACTCGTTGCAAACAGCAGCTTCCTCCCTCGCCTCCTCTATTGTTAGTTTTAACCCTGTTGGTTATATGATGTTACGTGATCAAGTGCTGTTTCAATCCCTTGCTATTGAAATGCTTGCTAATACTACAGGCAAGGGCCTCTCCTTAATTAATCAGCAGTTAAATTCCCTTGTTCAGTATAGTATTCAAAATAGATTTATGATTCAATATTTGTTACAATCTTCCTCATTTTGTACTAAATTTGCTGAAGTATATCCCGACTTTGCTGATAAATGCGGTGTTTCTTTGCCTTCTATTTCTCCTAATTTGTCCTCAATTGTTAAAGACCTGCAAACATTGAGCTCTACTGTCCGAGAGTCACGAGAGTCCTTCCAGTTTTGGTCATGGCTCGATTGGCTTGGCCTTGCGCCCTACAAATCCTATTTCCAATCCCTGTTTGTGTCCCTTCTAGTTGGGCTCGCTCTTCTCTGTCTCGGATGTGCCTTCATTAAAGCCTGCATTCGCAAGTTTGTTGCCTCGGCCTACATCGCTTCCACCCCCGAAGCGCATCCCCTCGTAGGTGGGGATGAGGAGTCGGACTCGGAAGTTTAGGTTTTCGGCCTATTTCGGCCAGGGCACGGGGGCATGTTGAGATGAGTTCCTGTCTGCATCCTGTAAAACTTGCCCATACCGGTATTGCCCTGGCCTCTTCTTTTGTCATTCAGTGTTGCACGCATTCTAAAGCAATATGCATTTCCTCACCTTTTGGGGGCGAAGCCAGACTTTGCTTGTGCCAATCAGAAACGAACACAAACAGGTTTTGGGCCCCGTCCCCTATGACACTTCTATGATATCATAGTTGGTACTTTATGGGCTGCCTGCCATGTGCAGGCAGGGAGAGGAGAAAGAAAAACGAATCCTGTGTATCCTGTGTACACCCGTAACCGGGGCTGGTCCCCACTTAGTCCGGACTTCGGACTAAGGTACGCAAATTCAGCTACGTTAATAACGTAGCTGAATTCGAAGTACCTTAGTCCGGACTTACCGCGGTCCAGACGCAGCCGGAAGTCTCCCCCCGTCGACGCCGCGTACTCCTCTCGGCGAGCTGGAGTACCGGCGCCGACTGTGAGCACTTCCGGGATCGATCCGGGATCGATTTATCGCGTCTTAACCAGACGCGATAAACCAATCCCAGAACATCGATGGCGTGCCGCCGGACCAGCCGGTAAGTGAAGACTAGGCCTGATCACCTCGAAGCCTCTCTCTCAGCTCACGTGTTTCAAACAGGGTGTCTACATTTGCCGGTCGTTATGCGTTGGTTTGTATTTGTAAGTATCAGTTATTACTAAATGCTGCATCTTTGTTTATAAATATTGTTAGTAGATATTTTAGTCAGTGTGTTTTAAGTTTCATTAACTCTATTGGCTAATCAAACGCTGCTCCCTTACCCCTTGTAATTATCCCCAATAAAACTTTAAATTGATTAATTTTAGTTGTGTGTGTGTGTCTGCAGTTTGCATCGTGACCCATACTCTCCTTGCATCCCTTACCAATATAGTCTATTGCCACGTGCAGCCTGGTAAATAACAGGCCTGCATTTTCTTTCGCCCCTGCGTGCCCGTGGCAATCCACACTGTTCACTCTTATTCTTAATTTATGGACTTATATCATTCAGTTCCAGCCTACATCTCTGATCTTATCTCATCTCACCCCTCTGTTTCCCAAGGGTGCCTCTTCCCCCCTTTGCTTCCATCCCCCTCCCAATTCCAGGCCATCCCCTATGCATGAAACAACCTCCCAACTCCCTAACCTAACACCCTCTTCTCGTTAAAATCCATAAACTTATTTCTACCATGTTGTTCTACCAGCAAGTTAAAAACAAGTAATGAAATAACCACCAAAATGCACACCTAACTCGTCTCACTTTACACTCATCACTCCCTTTTGTTCACTGCCCTGAGTTATTGCTTCATGTCTAACATACAGAATGCAAACTCTTGGAGACAGAGACTTGTCTTTTATTTGTTCAGTAAAATACTTACCTTGGTTTTAGGTACTAGAATACTTGGTTTTGTGCGCCCATTATGATAACTGCAATATAATCTGGCTATCGGCTGCGAGAGTGCTGGTTGGCTCCCAGAATTATCTTTCAAAGAAACCCGGGCAATGGTCTGTGCTTGTGGCACTTCAGAACCAGCAATTTGTAAGAGAAAAATCCTACAAACTAAATACAAGATGACTTTCCCAGAAATATTTGTTTGTGTGTTTCAGGGGCAGCTAGATAACTAAAGCCTTAATGCACATAAAGATAGTGGTGTAGGAAGGAGAGGGTTAATTTTAGGTTAGAACCACAGGGAAGAAAAACCCATAAAAGGGATGGCCTATGCTTTACATGGAAGGGAACAAAAGCAGGGTGAAAGAGAAAAAGCTAAGGTTTTGGTGGTGGTGGTAGACTGAACTGGGTGTGGAGAGCAGTCAAGCTGGAGAATTAAATCTACTATGAACAAATATTCAACACACATTTTGTAGTTGTATAGCAACTTCGATTGGGGTATCTTGGTCTGTTTAACCAACATTAAGCCTCACAACGCACCGCTGAAATAAGGAAACATTGTTTAGGAGCAGGAAACTCACACACAGATGGGTAAATGTCTTGGGTGTTGCAGAAGTAAAACAGAGTCCAGGAGTAAGGACTCTCAATCCAGCACTGCACGTGCAAGTGTAACATAGGGCTGGTCTACACTGGGGGGAAGGAGGGGGGGAGGAAATCGATGTAGCTGAAGTCAAAGTATCTTAGATCAAATTACCTAGGGTCCACACGGCACGGGATTGACGGCCGCGGCTCCCCCGTCGACTGCACTACCGCCGCTCGCTCTGGTGGAGTTCCAGAGTCGACGGGGAGCGCATTCGAGGATCGATATATCGCATCTTAACGAGACGCGATATATCGATCCCCGCTAGATCAATTACTACCCGCCGATCCGGCGGGTAGTGAAGACGTACCCTAAGTGCCCCTAGCTCAGGACAGAGCATACCCACAGTGGCGTTTGAGGGCAGGCAAGTGAGGTGCAGCAATCCAGATAACAGAAAATCCTCACGGGGTAATAGCCTCCAGTTCCACCCTGGCCACTGCCAGTCCCAATTTCAGAGCTCACGAGTCTTTTCCACACGCCCATGAGGCTGCTGGGTACGTTACCAGCGAGATTTGCCGCTCGGGGCGTGGGATGCCCACATGCACATTCACGGGACCAGCCCCACGCCGGGGGTTAGACCTCAGGTGATGCCCTTTCCCTTCCCGCCCCTTTTAATTCCCTCTGCTTCGCGTCCCAAATCGCAGCCTCAGAAGATGCCCTGCCACGCGTGGGACGGGCCCACGAGGATGTCGTGGTGGGGTTTAGACAGGGACCCACGTCCCCTGCCTCATGTCCTACGCCAGCAACCCCAGGCCGGCCCCCACGGGGCCCGTGCCCGGCCGCCGCCGGTCCCCCTCGCCCCGCCCCCCATTCCCTGGCCACACGCCGGCGGGGAGGGAACGGGAAGCACACGGCGGCACCGTTACTTTTCGGCCCGCACGAGCCGAGGGGGTGCGCGCGCACCTGCACACGCGGGATAGCGCGCAAGCGGTTGTTTTGTAAACAGCGATGAAGCCCCGCCCCCAGCGTGCGCGCGCCTGCAGCGGCTTCCCCGGCCCCGGCCCCCGCCCAAGCCCTCCCGGCAGTGGGTTTTCTGGTCCCGCTGTATCGGCGGCCAGCGAACCGGCCTACCTGTCGCCACCCTCCCCAGCAGCCCAGTCTCACCTCAGTCGCTTCCCCTTTTTCCCTTCCGTGCTACGTGGGGGTCAGAGGACGGGAGCCACCTCCACTTCCTGTTCCGGGTTATTGCCCGAGCATGACTCTTGTTTCCATGGGCCATCTATTGGGCGGCTCAGGCGGGGCCTGGTGGGCGAGCGAGGCCTATCGCTGCCCCAAGGGCCAGGTCTAGGTTCGCAGAGTCTGGATGAGCAGAGTCTCCCCTGACATCTAGGGGTGAGCTGTGGAAAAAGACTTCAGAAGCCGCTCTCATTTGTATGGACACACCCACCCTGCCCAGGTGCACAGCTGGATGGGATTGCCTGCACAGATCACTTATTGGGGCAGGAGTAATAAAGGGTTGTAATCCTTGTGTGAACTGAGGGCAGAAGAACTGTACCTGGCATACTCCAATGGTGGGACTCACCCTCAACTTAACAGCACTTGCTAGGCAGGGGACATGGGTTCCAAAGTCCAACGGGGGGGTAGGTACTTGTATGCAGTGATATGGGCTCTAGTGATTTTTTTTAACCTGATCTATCTTCATGGTAGAGTAGAAGAACTAGTTTAGACTGAATTGAGAGTTTTGTTACATGCTGTGAGCTGAAATCATTGATACCTAGGTCTAAGTTATTAGATTTACTTTAGGATAGTATCTCTATTGATGTGAGTGGGGTATAGAGAAGAGGGGCATGTTAAAGGGACTTTGGGGTTGCTGAACTTAAGACCCTGAGGGGAAAAGGACACTTCCAACTTACTTGGGGGTCTTTTGCTCATTGTTTGTGTTTATGAGCCCTAGTTGTGATGTTTTCCCAAATTAATGCTGAGTTAATTTGCTCCTTTTAGTAAAAGTTTTTGCTACACTCAGCGTCTGTGCTTCCAATAGGGGAAGTATTGCCTCTTAGAGGTTGCCCAGGGGGTGGTGTGTAATTGTCCTAGGTCACTGGGTGGAGGCATGAGCCAATTTTGTGTTGTATTGTTGAAAAGGAACCCCTAGATAGTGAACTTGGCCCTTGTTGCTGCTGGCTTCACCTGGCAGAAGGGTTACCTCTACAAGGGCCCTCTCTCACTGGAAAGTTGAAGAGACACCTAGTGAGATTTCCAAAGCACTTGGGCACCTAACGCCTATCAACTTCAATAGGAGTCAGAGGCCTACACCCAATGAAAATCCCACTAGGTTCCTATTTGCATTCTTAGGTGCTTAAATACCTTTAAAAACCTGTCCCTTTCTCAGAAAAAAAGTTACATTCCTGCATAGCATGCAAGTCCAACATCAGTTTTTGTGTATCTTGTGTTATGTCTGGATTTATAACCATGCTAACATGGGAGATACAGTACTCGTGTTTGCAATGTTTAGCCATATATTGTTTCCAACCCATGATTTTATTGCAAGTCTCATGATATTTTCTGTTCTTCTTAACCAGCCTCTAGAGACAAGTGATTACATGAGAATTTCAGCGTTCTTTTAAAAAACAATTAGTTTCTAGTCCTTGTGGTTGTAGAAGAAAACTTGAAAGTGTGACCTGACTGTAAACTTAAAGGATCAACAAATAGAAGGCAAATAAACCCCCCAAATAAATATACTTTTGATAAAAAAAAATTCAATCTCACACATGATGTTTGGATGCTTAGAGTTGGCAATAATAAAATTTCTACTTTCTAAGAAATACGCTAGGCACTTACCCCCTAAAACACCCTAATTTCTTTACACCATCTGAACAAAGACTAGGACATAAAGACATATCTGTCATTGTCCTTTTAGCAATCAACAAAGAGCTTGTTTTTCATTAAGCATCATATCTGCCCCATCAAACCTTATCAGAGATGAAGGTCCCATTTTGACTTAATGGCTGAATTATAGCTAAGAGTGTTCATGTTATATGGAAGAGCATGAATGTATCTTGGCAGTGTGGTTAAAAATAGTAAACTCACTGCTTAGCTGATGTTCTATTTATTTTAACCTTTAAGGTTTTTAAATTCATCTTATACTCCTTTGAGTGACGAGCTATTGCATCTTTCCCCCTTGCAGTCTGTTCCTGGCATTGGGTCAATATTTTTAGTGTGTGTCCTCATATTTTATGGTAGTAAGGCCAAATGCAAACAAAGTCAAAGCCCAAGCCCTTTGAAGACATCTGTCAAGGCTGATTCCCCACTCTGGCACTTCGAGTGAAGAAGGTGGGGGCCCGGAAGGATTCTAAAAATTAATACTGGTCACTCCAGGCTTGTATTAAACTCCCAAGGTTACAGCTTCTCTCTGACCTTGGATGGGTAGATGCTGCCACCACCCAAATGCAAAACCCCTTGGAACCCAGGAAGGTGCACTTGGGAATTCCTTCCTGTGGGATACCTTCAAGCCCTTTCACCCCACTTCCGGGGAAGAACTGAGAAAGAAAACAAAGGAAATTAGCTGTTGCCCCCAGCTAATTAAACAACATGCACAAATCTCTTAGGACATCAAAAATCCAATCCTGTTCTTAAAAAAGGTAAATTTTATTGAAAACAAAAGGAAAGAAAATACATCTGGAACTTAGGCTTTTGCTAGATTTAAAAAACCCACTTACAAAAATTAAACATCAAGAATAACCTTCTTTAGGTCCAGCTTAAAGATTGCAAGCAAAACAAAAAGCATTTGGAGTTAGCACAGAGGAGTCCACAAGCCAATAAGAAATAAACACAAATAAACCTAATCGTGTCTTTCTAGACATTTTCTGATTTATGAGTAGGTTTTAGGTATTATCTGATGATTTCCAGACCTGACAAATAGCCTTTTACAGCATAGTCCCAGCCCTGTCTCTGCTCTGTCCCCTCTCTCTGGAGAACAACAACAGAACAGACAAAGGGAAGTTTTTCCCAAATTAAAAAAGTTCTAGCCTTCCCATTGACTCTTGTGGTCCGATGCCCACTCCTTTCCTTTTACCTGTGGACTTTTTAACCCTTTACAGGTAAAGCAAGTAGAGAACAGCTACTAAGAGGGATTTTATAGCTAATTGACTGGCTGGGTGTCCATAAAAGGGAGCTACACCCCCCCCTCCATTTATCACAACATCTGTAAATACATGTTTGGATTCTGCAGTGTGATCCATCTAACTACACCCTTGTGCACATACAAAACCACATTGAAAGTGCCATACTATGGGAAATCTTGCAGAGCAACTTTAAGATAAGAATGTACACTCAGGATTGAAGTAATACAGAAAATTATACAGAAAAATTGCATAGGACTTTTTTAAAAAGGGGGCTGCTTCATTGTTTTTACTTTTACACTAGTAGCTGAAGGCCCAGGCTATCATAAAGTCATCTGTAAAAAAAGTCAAAAATGGGTAAGAACTTAAAAAGTGTATGGTAACAGACCATGAGTCCCAGTGATGACAGAACCTGATGATATTCTAAACAGAAAGAGCTCCCAACCATGCTTGTAGCTGTTCCCATCACTTCATACTGGCTCAAAAGACATTCTCAGGTTTCAGAGTGACAATCCTAGAATCATATTATATAGATATACATGCACATGCATGGGTATGTATACATATGAGCAGCAAAAGTGAAAAATGCTAGGATGTATGAAGATTCGGATGGAAAATAATACTGAAAAGTATTGCAACACCATTATATAAATCACTGGTATATCTTCATCTTGAGTACTGAGTTCAGATCTGGCCACCCCATCTGAAAAAATATATAACAGAAATAGGGATGGAAAGAAGGATGATGAAAATTGGAGGTATGGAAAAGATTCAAATAATGGGAACTGTTTGGTCGGAGAGGGAATATGATAGAGAAATATAAAATAATGAACAGTAAAGAGAAGGTAAAGCAGGCATTCCTATATACCAGGGGTAGGCAACTTATCGTACACGTGCCAAAGGCGGCACGCAAGCTGATTTTCAGTGGCACTCACACTGCCCGGGTCCTGGCCACGGGTCCGGGGGGCTCTGCATTTTAATTTAAGTTTAAAGAAGCTTCTTAAACATTTTAAAAACCTTTTTTACTTTACATACAACAATAGTTTAGTTATATATTATAGGCTTATAGAAAAAGACCTTTTAAAAACGTTAAAATGTATTACTGGCACGCGAAACCTTAAATTAGAGTGAATAAATGAAGACTCGGCACACCACTTCTGAAAGGTTGCCAACCCCGGGTATATACCCTTACTTACAATACAAGAATAAGGGAACATTCAATGAAATATTGAAAAGCATTAAAGCAACAAATTTAAATCTATTTTTACACCACATACAGTTAGCCTATGGAGCTTACTGCCACAAGATACTATTGAGTCTAAGAACTCAGCAGGATTCAAAAAAGTCTCAGGACAGCAGACAATGGTTAAAAGAAAGAAAAGAGATACAAACCTGATACAACCTTCAGAGTAGCAGCTGTGTTAGTCTGTATCTGCAAAAAGAACAGGAGTACTTGTGGCACCTTAGAGACTAACAAATTTATTATTTATAATAATAATAACTTATGCTCTAATAAATTTGTTAGTCTCTAAGGTGCCACAAGTACTCCTGTTCTTTTTGCTGATACAACCTTGTTTCCATTTTAGTTTTAACTCAGCTGTGTTTTATTATGTTCCACTAGAGGGCTATCTGATCACCTGTATTCTTAGGCCTTGGCTACACTTGCAGCTGTACAGTGCTGTGAGTGAAACCTGTCTTTGTACAGCTGAGTAGGGAAAGTGCTGCAGTCTGTCCACATTGACAGCTGCCAGCGCACTGTCATGGCCACATTTGCAGCAATTGCAGCGCCACTGGGAGCGGTGCATTACGGGCAGCTATCCCACAGAGCACCTCTTCCCATTCTGGCGCTGTGGGTTGTGTAGGGTTTCCATATTTCAGCAAGCAAAAAAGAGGACGGGAGGAGCCCTGCCCTAGCCCCACCCCTGCCCCTCCCACTTCCCGCCCCCCCAGAACCCCCAACCCTCCCCCCGTTCCTTCGTCCCCTGACTCGCCCCCTCCTC